GACCATTGAAAGCCAGTGATGAGCTAGATCGTCAGGTTCTCACGAACAGATCACAGGCCATCATCTGGGCAGTTGGTCCATTGAACGAGAGGCAGGAGGTTAGTTTCCATAGCGACTACTTGAAGACTGATCGTTTCATCGAATTCGGTAGACCGCCTGCTTGGAATTGTCCCATTCCTGATCAGGAACAACCAGATACTTATATTGACAACGATAATAACGCAAATAGTAATCAGGTAAGTTTGATTATTTTGTTTTTTATTATGATATTATGATTTTTTCTTGATAACAGTATCATTTTAACAGCAACTCGCGGTAACTACAAGAAGACCTCAACGTGTTCCTGCTACTCCAGCACCAGCACCTACAAATGATGCTTGGGAGATTCCTCCGATACAATGTTATGAACCAGAAGATGGTGTCTTTTATGCTCAAATGGGACCAACCGGTGGAAAACATGGATATCCTGCTATTACAGGTTAGCAATTTATCCTTCAGAAATGTATCTTGATCATTGATGTTCCGAAACGATGATACTCATTTTTCCTTTATAGGTCATGTTGGCTGGGGAATTTCTTGGTATATAAATGGTCTTTTAATTCCGGAGATAAACGTAGTCCGTGGAAAGAAGTATACCTTTGTCGTTGAAGGTGGACAGAATGCCGATACACCTGCACGTTATCATCCATTTTATATCACGGATGATCCAGTCGGTGGTTATCAACATAAAACTCCAGAAGAAAAAGCAGTAAGTAGATGTGTTCAATATACAACGACTATTATCTACATTAATTAATAAGATAATGATAAATACTTATTTCAGAAAATTAAAATATTCGCTGGAGTACGTAGACAACGGGGATCAATTCGACCTACCGGAGTTGGACGATTTTGTTATTGGGTACCCGATCAGAAACAACCTCCGGCCGATGAATTCACATCTTTCGGTGCTTATCAACGAACGTTGACTCTGGAATGTGATCATGGTGAACCAGGAATTGTTGAATGGACTCCCGATGAGAATACACCAGATACGGTCTATTATCAAGTAGGAAACTATATGTATATCGGTAACATAACTTGAACAGTTCTGATCCGATCATGTGACGTAATTTTAGTGTTTCACTCATCGCTATCTGGGCTGGAAGATTAACGTCCACGACAGCTGCGATGAGGGTTCAGCCAGCGAGAACCATGAGGTTTATGTGGAACAGAATGGTCATCCTGAGCTCATCGAGGATTTAGATGTCAGTCCGAGCATTCGAGTCTCGAGCAAGGTAACGCCAACGGCCGAGTTCCTTCAGCAGCATCTTCATCATCCTCATCATCGGGAACATGGTCTTCGTTACCCCCATCATACGGCGACTAACTCTGGCAAGCTAAGCACGTCCTACGCGCAACTACTAACGAACGCTAATCATAACAATTACGAACGCTTTCGAACATCAGCCATACATGAGGATGCCTACGGGCCGAGGTCCAATCATGGGATCATTCCTCATCGTTACGAGGTACGCGTGAAGGAGAACTATCGTCACGCGCACCTCGACGAGGAAGCTCTGCAACGTCAACAACAACAGCAGAAGCAACAACAAACAGCTAGCTCAATTTATAGCGAGTTAGGAGGAATTGGCACCATTAACAGGCCAACCTCAATTTCCTCGACCTCGGCCACGATCACGTCCACGGCACTATCCTCGTATCCCAGCAGACCTCAGTTCACGGAGATCGATCAAGAAATCCGACAGTCCTCTAACCATCAATTGTCTAACCTCGTTGCAGATAATTCAAGACCACTGAGCCACGGGATGAAATTCGCTTACACTCTACCCACCACGCAGATCGTATATTCCAGACCAACGTCGCATCATTACGCGCCTGATCACCATCATCTCCATCATCTACTTCATTACCATCAGCATCAACCGGAGCAACAAAGAGCCCAAGTGATGATCGTACGAAGACCTGTTTTGATGCGTCGACCCATTTTACAGAGTTCTCATACAATTAACTCGCCCACGTTCGCCTTACCACCTTCAAGATCGATATTCATGGAACGTAAAAAAGCTGTTTACAAGGTACCAACCTCAGAAAAAGTCTCATACGGAAATATCGTCAAGCTGATGAAACTCGACCCAAAACAACGTACCAAATTAGAAGCTAAAGTATCCGAAGCAGCTGTCATGGATATTTCAGGGAATCTAATGACATCTCTGAAACCAGCTCGTAACACTGGATTCAATCCAGACTCCATTGTCATCGAGGGTGGCTTCAAACCTATAATTGATCCATCCCGAGACTTGCTTGAAAAACGAATATCAGATAGCGATCAGGAATACGAAGAAACGATAAAAGAATCAACATTTTCCGATCAATTATCAAGCGATAATTTCGAGCCAGTATTTTTACCTTCACCAAGCATGAACCCAGCATCCGATAAATCAAAAAAACAAAAGAAGAAACCTAATCCAACGAACGTAAATCATTCTTCGAAACCAGCTTTAGACGAATTAGACGATATGCAAATGGCTGCCGATGGCCTTCAGTCCTATTACTTACCTCCAGCCAGATCAGAGGTTGAATCAGCGACTCCTGGAGTTTTAATAACTTACGATGGTAAAAAGGTAAAGGATTCCTCATTAGCCAGATCCATTTCGGAGATCGAAGATCGTTCTAAGACTCGACTGACTTCGGACGTGTTGAGCAGGACACCACAATTTGGAAGATTCAAAGGAGAACTTCCACCACTGATTCCTGCCGAAATACGTTCGTCCGATAAAACGACAAGACTCGAAAGAAACGAACAATCAGCCTCGCTAGATCTACCCCTGTTGAAATCTCGAAAAAATACAAGACTCACGTTGGTGGAAAGATCAAAGAGATCGCCAGAAGAAACTCGTACAATGTCAAGTATGGAATTTCGAAGGAGTAACATCACAAAAAATACGTCGAACGAGGAGGACATCGACGATATGACGACGCTTGGTAGCACCGGGCAAACGATTTTAGCTAATATTAAATACGTTGTTCTGACCATAATACTTTATTACGTTATTTGAAGAGAAAATGATGAAAAAAGAGGGGAGAAACGCAAAAAAATTTGCGTTGCAAGTAAACTGATGCTGATTGGTTTACCGAACGATGATGGTGCTGGTCGATCTTTGCCGGTCTCGTGCCCTGCGAAAGGGGTCGAACGGTGCACAAAGTAATCGACGCGACGATAACACGGGAAGAGGAATACGACTAACCGTATACTGGTTTTCTCTCTCTCTCTCTCTCACACACATATTTTCTTTTTTTCTTTTTTATATCTAGTACAATTCGCCTGTCACTCTCGACCTCCAGTCGGTTCGTGATTGCCCTTCGTCATTCTCTTCGCTCCTCTTTCTGCCAATGTGATCTCTCTCTCTCTCTCTCTCTCTCTCTCACTCATTCTCTCACTCACACACTCACTCATTCACTCACTCACTTTCACTCTCTTTTATCTATTGTAGTACGAAACACCCCTATTGTTTTTTCAATTTGTCACAAGCACATTTTTTTCCAGAACGTTTTTGTTTCCGTGTAACCGACCGAC